TCCTCGAGGACATAATGCGAACAATGGAATGGCCCAACATAGGAGTGAAAATCGATGGTTGGCAACTACACCATTCTCCCTTTGCTGACGATATCGTCTTTATAACATCGAACTTTAGCCAAGTGGAACGTGTGCTTGCCGCCGTTGATAAAGCCTGTGGAAAGATTGGTCTTCGACTAAATGTTACAAGAACGATGTTCATGAGGAACGGATTGGTACGTATGGCCCATTCACGCTCAGCGGAATGAATATCTCCGAATGTTCCAGTTACGCCTCTTTAGGTGAGAAGATCAACATGATGAACGACTTAGCTCCGAAATTGAGCAGAAGGAAACGAGCGGCTTGAGAAGCTTTCAAAAGTATCGAGGATGTAATGGAGGGAATAAAGAACACCCAACTCCGTGCCCACCAGTTCGACTCAGCCGTGCTTCCTTCTTTAACGTATACGTCAGAAACCTGGTCGTTGCGTAAACAGGATGAAAGTTCACTTAGATGAAAGATCGCGTTATTGAACGCGCAGTCGAGAAGACGATGCTGGGAGAATCCCGTGTCATACAAGTAAAGGAAGGGATCCGAAGCTCCGACCTATGTCAACAGTAAGAAAAAAACGTCGTTCTCTTCGCTAAACAGTCGTAAATAAGGTGGGCCGGACACATAATGCGTATGAACGGTAACCGATGGACAAGAGCTGTTAGTGACTGGATTCCTCGGCATGTCAAGTGTGCTATAGGAAGGAGCAGAATCCAGTGGCCTACTGCACGCTACAGGGAGAAATGGAAGATTTACTGGCGTATGCTCGAGTCACTAGACGACCAACGGACTACAGATGGTACAGGTGATGAAGCGATTGTTTCAACATGCTGGGGGAGAGTTTGATTTGGGAGTTGAAGAAACTATTGTTCATAATAGTGTTAAGCAGCATCAATTGAAACCAGTTTACAGTAAATCAATTCCCATGAGGCATATGCGCTGATTATTTTATGCATAATTCTTCACGTTTCATAACGATGCACGGAGGCAGGTGTGGCGAACTAGACAAAGTTTCATAGGTAAGCTTGTTCAGCCGTTGTAGCGTAGGTTGTGCGAAATGTGATAGTTAGTATGACGTATTGTCAATTCTTACAGCATTTATTTGCCAGTCTTTTTCGCCTATCCAATTTATTTAGATGTTACTAAACAGATGAGATGTTTACATCCAGTTCTGCAAGTTATCGAATAGTTTGCATGTATTTGTTTCAACTACAGACTTTAATTCACCGTCATGAATAACAGGAGGTAGCCAGCGACCTTTAAGGTCGAACTCGTCAAGACGAGATTTTTCAAGTCAACGCATTGTTCACTCGTTAACTATTCCTTGGCCCCACATTTCGGTAATATTTGGATCCGTCTGCAGTGCGTACCTCCGAGTTTGAATTCGTAGGTGAAATTTTCTCGGAATTGTTTTCTGACATCTGAAACTGTAATGTTTACAACTTTTCAAAAACAATGAAGTAGCAGAAATTTCGAAAAAAAAGCTTGCTAGAACATATACAAGAGAAATTAAGTTACAAATCCATAATTAATTTCCAAACGGCTTAATATTCTGTTCTGATGTTGTCGTTCTCGACAGGTAATGAATATTATTTAATGAAACCAATTTCCACGCATATCCTAAGTCCTTGTGTATCAGCGATATAAAAGTACCTTCTTTTAGCTTCCTCGTATGGATCCGTTCTCGGAAATGGATGCCCTTGGTGTCCATTGTCCTGTACGAACTTCTTCAAATAAACGATCTGTAGTACATAGTGAAACAAAACAAGCAAAATTCAGGCGTTTTAGTTGAAAATGGAAAAGGAAAATCTACTAAGCATCCGCAAAAGATATCTGGGAAGTTCTTTCTGAAGCGTTGTGCGGGTTTTTGTTTTCACCTCATTATTTTACGTGTTTCATTTTGTTCCGTTTGGTTTTTAGTGATCTTGTATTGTATAAGTGTGAACGGTAGCCCGAATGTAATCCGTAATCGAGACTCTGCAATTTAACATGAGAAGGATCTTTTATGGTTACGAGTATGTAAATCGTATGTGTACTGATTTCGCTTCATGTACCGGTATGTTCTCCGTTTTTTGTTGTCATAATCGTTTTTGTTGTACCGTTGAGGACGGGTCGGTGGAATACCTTTTATTTGTTGCATTTATGCAGTATCATAAATGATGAAGGTCATAAGCCATAGAGCATCTCAGGCTCAGTTGTATACGTGGGTTCTGTACAACATGGTTTAGTACCGTCGAATAATTAGGTGTTTCATTACTAATGATTATCATTTTGGTGTGCTTCATTAGAAGCTACTGTGTTGTGTGGTGAATCTGATTTCTTTGTCCTTTCTTTTCTATTTTCTTTTTCTATTTCTATTTTTGTTCGTGTTCAAAGTTCTAGTATTGCATTTCGAAATCATTCTATGTAATGTTTTTGTCTATTTAGTCAGTTATGAAGCTAGAAATGTTAGTTCTTTGATCACTATAGAAGAGTTATGGAGATATTGAAGTAAATAGTTTATTTGTAGTTCTTTGAACACAAATATCTCAAGGAATTGGATTGGATTCCTTATGAATTTTTTATAAAATAGCTTTTATTCGTTCTATAGTTACTACTGGGGGTTAATAATCTACTGAAAAGCTAATCGTGTTCATGATTAGTGAACTTGTTGGTGGCATAACTTACTAGCTATCGTCTGACGGTGTAAATTTAACAGAGTACATCATGTAAAATGAGAAAGAGTTCGAAATTTGGGTGATAGTGAGCTTCGTCATATACGTCGTGTCACATGTGCTGTGCTCGAAGTGTTTGCTTTGCGTTGTGCTTCCTGTTGGACGGGCTGGGAAAAAATCGAAGTGCTCACCACGACTTAGTGCATCTTATGGTGTAACGATGATTTCTGGACGTCAAATTCAGATTTTATAATGATTTCTATGGTGTTTCTAAGCTGAATTAACGATATAAGGAATATTTTCTTTTCCTGAGTAGTGCTTTGTGAGTAACTTGAGTGAGCATATCAACAGCTGGCACGGCGATCTGTGCACTCTGTCGGAGTCGTTGTGGTTCATATCATCCCTCCATCAGCCACATGTTCACTCACACCGATTCAAGTTCCCGTAGCGATTCGATATGTGCAAGAACTCGTTTCTTATCTGCTGTATGTATCAGTGGTTTTTGTAACGTTCCTTGCCTTTCCGGTTTTTCACCTAATTTCTTCTGTTTACAACGTCGCTTTATCATATTAGGCGCATAGACATAGGTACATCGTATTATTTGTTCTAGAAAGTTCTGATAGGTACTATATGAACACAGGGAACAAATGATGCTGTGGAACTTCTCTTTTCACTGGGAAAAACAGCTGTTAATATATGTAACGTAGTTCTTTGTCCAGAGTATCGTTAGAAGAAGGTTCCACGTGCATTGAATACAATGCATCGAATACGAAAATAATTACTGCTGTCAGATTTAGGCCAACATAACAGAACAAGTAATGGAGTTTACTAATTTCAATAATGGTCATTGATGTTTGAAGATCGTTGTCTATAAAACACAGTTATTTTATCGAGAAAAAATTCCGTTACTCTATAGCCGACAAGATGTATGTCTTCAGATTTTTTTCTGTCCGGAAACTTGAGATACGAAAACAACTGAGAAGTGGAATTTCGTGCAGGACGACGAGGTGTTGTTAGGCAGTCCACCGTTGGTGTTTACGGTTGCTGGGCTTGTGTTCGAAACTAAAAAGAATCGGAATTGAAAGAATGTTGTTCTACCAAAGTTATACAAACGCTTAAGACAGTAAGGTTATAGGGAATCTATGACTTTGTCAACTCTTCGAATACTCTAATGATGAGAAATCGTTAATGGAGTCGAGAAATCGTCAGGTGTTAAGTGCTAGCTGAGTGCTTGCTTATGAACACCGACTTAAGTGCTCAGTAACCTCAGTACTGGCCGTATTGGTGAAGTCGTCGTCTGTTCCCATTAATGGGATTGGAACAAGTTCATGATGATAAGTTGGAATGAATTCGTAGAATAAAATACATATTTAAATTGACATGATAAAAGAACACTATAGATGTTTCAGTGACTTCATAGACACAATTCTATAGAATTGTGTCATGCCTAATCCCTAGTGTTTCTTTTTCCTTTTGCTTCGTTTATTTTACTAATTCATCGTGTTATTTGTTCGAATTCGTACTCCATAGGTAGTAAAATTGACTTATAACATTAAGGAATAACTTCGTATCAGCAGTTCGTACTAACGTACCATTTGTCCTGAATGTTATTTTCATAATACTGTCCGTGTTATCGTTGATATTAATCATCAACTGAAACAATCTATACACGATCATTTGGTTTTAAGTGATAGAAATGATTGACTGCTAGGTTTTCGTTTTCTGGTCTTTGGGAATACATAATACATCTGTGTGCACGTTGGCGACCAAGTACATAATAGCAGTCGAAGTTCTTAAGCGAGGTTTTCATGAAGTAAATAAGCAATCATGCAGTTGGCGATGAATTATGATCTATCCATCTATTCATGGGAAACTTAAATAGTAGATGATTAGGAAAACATAATCTCTTAGCTATTTATTGAAGTTTTCTTCCGTAGCCGTCATCAACATTCGCGGGCGAGCGAATGAGTGAGAGTGAGCGAGTTCGTCTTACTCTTTCCGTCTACCACCTCCTGCACCGCATCCACTTCCTCTCATGCGTTCCTTTTTCTTTCCTTTTTTTCTCGTTCTTTGATGAGGAATCCATCGCGTACCTCGGCAACAGCTTGCTCTCTCATTTCGGCCGGTCGGTCTTCTCCTCCTGTTTCATCGTGGCGCTGGGCGTTTCCTAGCAATCCCCGCCTTGTTCGAGAATTCACTAGCCGCTGATTCATCAACGGCGATTTAATCCGCTTCTGTGCAACAAACCCCTAGCTTTAGTCTGTTTACTACCGTCTTATTTTTGTGATCTTCATGAATATTTTACGCTAGTTAAAAATGCCCAGTAAGCAACAGCATGTACATCATGAAGTTGATGCTTTTCAAGAGGAGGTAAAACGGAATGATGATTTCTGCTTCGAAATGTGTGACCGTGCTACATGATTTTTCTTTCAGGACATGGAGGGACCAGCGACCAAGGACCCGGTCGCTCCGGATATGCGTGGTCCGTTGAATGTGAAACGAAATATGCGTAGGTTGGACTCTATCGTCCCTACTGTTGGACGAGAGGGTTCAGACATTCAATTCAACCTGTACAGGGGTCGAGGAATAGCTGTATTCACATCTGGAGGCGACTCGCAAGGTTAGGTGAATTGATTTCCACTTTTTTTTCATTCCAAAATGCATCGTTTCACAGGTATGAATAGCGCTGTGCGATCGGTTGTTCGAATGAGCATCTATCTCGGATGTAAAGTGTTCTTTATAAATGAGGGTTATCAAGGAATGGTTGATGGTGGTGAGAATATCGTCGAGGCAAATTGGAACTCTGTCTCCGATATCATCCAAAAAGTTAGTTCTGTTTAGCTGTTTGACTATCCGAAGCACTTTTTTGCGTGGTGCGATTCACTTATGTTTACTGGTTTGCAGGGCGGAACGATTATTGGGTCGGCACGTTGTTCTGAGTTCCGCAAAAGAGAAGGTCGTTTAAAGGTGATTAGTATGGTATTCTACTTATCTTTACCCTTGTTTTTACCACAAAATTTCAAAGACATTTGAACGACGAGTACGTCAGTAAGCGGTTTCGCTATATTTTCACTTTTTATGGACTATGTCTTAGTTGTCTTATACAGGTGTATTGATTTTGTGCTGGCTGTGTAGCCAAACTTCCGTACGTTTGGAATTTTCGGCACAGCTGTAACAGCTGTGTCATACGCTGGTCCGTTAACGAAAAAAGGACCTCGAACAGACATCCAGTAAAACGTCCGTTCGTCGCTGGCGCACTCCGCACTTGCTCAGTGTATTTCGCTCGCTCAAAGAATGCGACGAGTAATACCACGGTTTCATAAGCGAGGCTCTTTATCACCACTTTTCTTCGGCAACACGGAGCTTCGAATAATTTTGTGAGCAAAATCAATAGCGCGGACAAATTAGGTTGAACTTATTGTTTAGGTTTTTGAACTTTCGTCATACTTGAATCGATGATGTTGAGAATGTGCACCAGATTATTTCCTGGTTTCGACATTTTACTCGCTATGTTTAACGTTTTGTTTTCTGCCTTCTATAATTTTCATGGCAGGTTACTAAGCGAAATACAACCACAACGTTGCTGAGATATTTGCAAAACTCTGGACCGCAGGTGTCTATGGTGG